AAAGCTAACTAGATTCTGTCCTAGCTGGTGTTTTGCAGTGGTTCCAGCCCTGGTTCTGTGTCTTCTAGGTTTTGCTTTAGTTCTTGAGTTCTTAACAGCAGCTTTTAAATGGTTGAATGGGATTGTTAAGAAGCTGACAAGAGATTATAAAGGCATATGATAGAACATCAAGTCAGAATGAAAACTTTTTGTCAGCACGTTGTTAGTTAGTGATGTGCTCTGTGTTGCGCTGTATATTGAGTTATGCAGTGCATTCTTTGTGTTGCGTGGCCGGACCCACTCCATCTCCCAGTTCTGCCCTGGCCCTTATTCCTACAGTCAGCAACAGCTGCTAACAGCCGTTTGTCAGTTGGGTCTTGGCTGGGGGGGGTGGGAGGTTGCTGTAGCTATGCACTGCTGCAGGATGGGTGTTCAGACATCGGGTTTATAGTGCCTGTATTTGATTTTGGTTCGTTTCATAAGGTCTAAAGCTGACAGGATACTTATCAAGTTTTCACTACATACAATTTAGTGAAAATTCCTCATCTGTGGAGAAAAAAAATACATATGTGCTGTATACACAGTATATTACAAAACATGTTCTCTTGCTTGTTGTGCACATTTAAAGTTGTTTTGAATCAAAAGCTTTGAAAATCACTCCACAGCAGTCCTGGTGCAAACTGTTATCTGCTGTTTTATTAAGAGGTAAACCTCCTGATTTTGGAGAACTGAATGTGACAATGAATATTGCACTTAACACTTTTGCATAGATCTGTTTGAATTCGATTAAATTCTGTATAGATGAAATGCGTAATTTAGCACAAAAACTAAAATATTTTTGATTTTTCATACATGTTCCATTCTCATCCCCAATCAATTAGGAAGTCATTTAATATTTACTGTGCATGGAAACATTATGGAGAGCAGTATCTCAGTATATTATAACAGCCATTGACCTCACATTTAATTTGATTTCTGATATTTAAAATGGCTAAAGCACAATTAAAGCCAACAGTCATAGGGACCTAAGACTGTATGTTATTCATATACTTAATATTTTGCACAGAGAATGGTGTTTGTCCTGACAGCTGCTGCAGGATGTTCATCATAATTGTGCAGTGGTCTGCTGGTGACATACTGTATACTAGAGGTTCCCCTGGAAAATTTGCATGATTGCTTCATGTTAGTAAAGCTCTCTGCAAGCTCCACCAGCACACCCTCCCCTGAGTAAACAAACCCTCTCAGGCACCAGGGATCCCGCAAACACCTGCCAAGAGCCTCCCCAACCTCCTTCGTGCCTAGTCATTTCCACAGCTGTGCTTTACAGGAGTCCCTGCTCCTCAGTCCAGGCAGGCCCTCTGCTACCACAGCTGCTTTTCAGTTCCATAGTCCTCACTGTTTGGCAATTCATGCCTTTTACCTCACCAAGCAGGTGGATACTGTAAATATTTTTGCTTGCAACACATGGGCTATGAAAGAGCAGCTGAGTGCTCTGTGTGGGAAGACAGCAGTGTTTTTATAGTCTTAAACTGACCTCCTTCAGATCATGAGTCCCAGTGCATCAGGGAGAGAGAAGACACAAACTGTCTTCCTATTAGCTACAAAGGAACAAGTAATAGGTGAACAAAAAGAAGCTGAACAAAAAGAAGAAAGAGAACACAACGTTTCGGCCATGGAGGCTTCTTCAGGTGTGAGAGAGACAAGGCAGTAAGCAAAGGTAATGTAGTGGGAGAACAAAGGTTGGGAGGGAGGAGTGAGAGGCGGGAGCAGGGGACAGAAAGAGAGGCCAATCAAGAGGTGTAAAGTCAGAATGGGTGCAGAGAGGTGTGAAATGAAACTATGCCTTCCTATTAGATAGATGTCTTAAGAGGTCCAGGTCCATTCTCAAGAACCCCAGTCATCCCAGTCACAAACTGTTTTCTCTCCTTCTGTCCGTAAATGGTACCGAAGCATTCGGTACTTTAAATACCAACAGATTACGGAACAGCTTCTATCTCTAGGCAATAAGACTGCTCAACAGCCAACCTGCAACTCACCCATAATGGCTACATGGACATACAGTTTTAATTGAATTCGGCATACTGCACTACTTGGACATAATATATTGCATTCACCATGGACACATAGCAGCTCTATTCATATTGAGTTTTGTCTGAGTTTATTTTATTCAATATCTATTATTTTGTAACCTTAATTTTGTGATTTTTACCCCCCCCCCCCCGGTGAGTTTGCAGAAAAGACATTTCATTGCCAGCAACTACTGCTGCATGCTGTATTGTTGTCATAGCTGCAGAGATGGGCAGCTTTCCTATATACCTGCTTTCTTCTCGAAATTATCTGCCTTTACCCCTGTTGCGCCAATAACTCTTTCTGTTTAACTCAAGTTTGCAGCGCTGATGTCACGTACTGTACCGATGGATTGTGTTTAGTCTGGTGAAAGCAGAACACATTTCGATGTCTTAGACATGCTGGTTTTAGCTGAAATAATAGGTGAAGTGATAATTTAATATACTCACCACTGAATTCAACATTACACAGCTGCTATAATTGCTTTTTTGTGTCCATCACTTTAAAAGAAACATCACTTATAAATGCAGCAAATTCACAAGTTATTGTCAGGTTACGTAAATCAAAACTGTTTTATAATGAGTTAGGCGGGAGAAGTGGGAGCTTCCCCTCTTCCTTTATTATTCAATTATCTCACCCCCTATTTAAACCGTAAGCACACACACAGGTTTTTAGTTTCCTGTTCCTCCCTTTGCTTTCACGTTCCCTCCTTGGGGGTAAGTGAAACTCACTTTCCCGACCTCAGGTTTACAGCGCCACCTTGATCCCTCTTTGGGAGTCACATTGGACTCCCAGCTACACAGTTTTCAGCAGCTCTCACCTACTAATTCTCTTTTTCTCTATCCCCTGAGGGCCCAGCTCCTAGTCGTGAGGCAGTGCCTCTCAAATCGTATCTCAGTGAATCAGGGGAGTCTTCCTCTTCCTTTTTATCTCAGTGAATCAGTGTCTTCCTCTTTCTTCTCTAACTCTGAGGGCTCAGCTCCCAGTCGTGAGGCAGGACCTCTTAAAGCGACTCTCAATGAATCAGGGGAATCTTCCTCTTCCTTTTTTGTCTTCTGAGGGCTCAGCTCCCAGTCATGAGACAGTGCCTCTCAGAGCGACTCTCAGCGAGTCAGGGGAGTCTTCCTCTTCCTCTTTTACCCCTGAGAGCCCAGCTCCCACAGTGCCTCTGAAGCGACTCTCAGTGACTCAGGGGTGTTTATGCTTTCAGGCCCTGAAGGCTGCCAAGCCAGATCCGTTGGGTTCCAGTGCAGTCCAGGCATCCCTTTTCTATACATTACTTATCCCTGCTTCTATCCTTGAAACATGCTAGCATTTTATTTAACATTTAGGCATAGGTTAATGCTGATTAGTTTTGTTAATAAGTGGGTTAATCAACAGGGAGTCTACTGTGAAAAATATGTACTTGTTGAATGGTCTTTGAGCTTTAGATGCCACATGTTATCCCAGATCATCCTACTAATGGCAAAAGGGACTCCAGTCCAGCAAATAAAGCATCCATGACATACTGCAATTAACATTGGCAGAAAAGTATGCAGAAGTTGCACCAGAAGTATGAGGACAAGCAGTTTTGTGCTGGAGGGTTATTCAAAGATAAACCTGCAATAAAGTTTATTCCATGCTGAAAAGAGAAGAACACTATGCAATCAGGTTGCACCAATCACTACAATAGTAGCAACTAGACACTCCCGTCTAGACCATCAGAGTTGCACCTCCCCATCGACTGGGCTGTTGTACCCAACTATTTGTACATATTTACAATACACACACTGACATCCATTGCTGCAAACTACACAAAACTTTAATCTATTGCTAAAGAGAACTTCACACTGCTGCTGCTGATGAGTCTGTCTCAGGTGTTGCTCCAACATAACTAAGCAGTTGGTAATAGTCATTCTCTTGATAACCTTTATGTGTGTTTTTTATGAGGTTTGACATTCAACAGCTAACAGTAAATCGCCTCTTACCCTTTTCCCAATCGCCTCTCCCACTAATGCAGTGATTTACAGTAGTATGTTTTCAACAGTCAAAACCACTCACGTGTCTTGCTGTCAGTTGTTAATAATCAGTTTTTATTAATTGTGTCAAATTGACACTTAAATATGTATTCACTATCTAAAATATAAAAGGGGCATCACTGGCTTTGGTGTGCCCAAATTTTTAGAATTGTACACTTGAAAATACAAACGAAGTAGGGATTTGTGAATGTGTAATCCTTATATTCTGTAGGGTTTTCCAGTGTAAAAACTCAGCTTCGTGGAGGTGAAAGAACTTTTTTCTTTGCCTTAGTTTCAATGATTTGAGTGCATATTTCTGAAGTGTCCATGTGTGTACCCTGCAAAGAAATGTATATTCATCCAGTGTGTAGTCCTGCCTTTCTCTCTTTGCTTACAAAATAGGCTCTGAGTCACCAAGAATAGGTGACTTTCTGATAACTAATTGATGGCTAAGAATGGTCATTTTTCTCAATGGAAAACCACCTGGAGATGGCTGTGATTATTTACAAATCTAAAGAACTGGTATTTAAAAAAGATTCCCTTCAGCAACACCATGATGTTAAAAAGAAGCTGGTTTTTGAGATTGCCTTTCTAATGACTTCCAATTTCCATTAAAAGATTTAGCTCACATTAAACGACTTGCCCCAAGTTATTGTCTCATAATTCAACATGCCCATGAAAAATGTAAAATTTGATAAATGGGAAAGACGAAAGACAAGTGATGCATCTTAATTTATGTGATTTCCTTTTGTCATAAAATGAGATATAAATGAGGAGAGAGTTTGGATTGCTAATATGAACCTGGTTAAAGTAACGTGTATTAGAAATAGGGGAAAGATCTGTCTCAGACTCAGCTACAGTCTGCAGTGCCAGGCAGAGAGGAGGAGGTAAAGGGGAAGGATGGGTTAACTGAGGACCTGGCTCATTGCCCCTGCTGTTTTTTTTATTTTCCCACAGGTCGGAAGTTCATCATCGCCAATGCCCGGGTGGAAAACTGCGCCATCATCTTTTGTAATGATGGCTTCTGTGGCATGTGTGGCTACACGCGTGCCGAGATCATGCAGAAGTCATGCACATGTGAATTCCTGTATGGCCCGCACACCAAGAAGATGGCCATCGCACAGATGGCACAGGCTCTGCTGGGATCTGAGGAGCGGAAGGTGGAGATTGCCTTCTACAGGAAGGATGGTAGGACTAAAGGATGTTATTGGTCTCACGCTTGGTTTCCTGACAGGGCCAGACAACACTGAAAGCCCTATTCAGGATACATGCATCACTACATTTAGACCCGTTTTCTCTTAACAAGATGTGAACACTATGGTACAGGACAGTTAAGCAGATATTGTACTATGAAAGTTAAGTCTTTTGAAATGTTTCTTTTGGACTTTCTAATGTTTGCGTTTTTTCTGTGTTATTTTCAAGCAACGTGCAAAAGTATATGTGTTGGGAAATAATAGATAAATAGAATCTCTGAGGTTTCCACTCTGGCCAGTAAGCTCTCTATCCTAACTGCTCTACCTTCACAATTTGTTTCCAGAACATAAAAGCACTTATAAAAGCAAAAAAGCAAGAGAATATGGGAAAATGAATTGTCTTTTGTTTCGAAGGGCTTGTTGCTGATAGTTTGCTTGGAATGGGGGAAAGAGTACTCTGTATAGACAGAGTCCCTGGAGAAACAACTGTCTGATTGCAGGCCAGGTTAACCTCAGACTCTGACCCTTCTATACACTTGCACTGTAGCACAGGACATCTCTTCAAGATGGGCTTTCACTTAGAAAACTTCTCTGGCAAAATATGGCAGTATCACAGTTAATTGTATTCAGTTAAGTTATAATAGGAAATGACAGTGAAATATCTAAGAAACCAGGTAAACATTTGACAAATTCTATTGAACAAATATAACAAAAGCATACTTTACCATGAATATTTAGAAAGTACACTTATCTATTTTGTCTTTGTAGTCAAGAGGCAAATCCTAAAAAGAGATAATATAAGGGCTACTTGTAGAAGAAAGATGGATATGGTTGTGAGCAATGTGAGCTGTATTTCTCTCTGCTCATTGTCTGTTCTTAGGATCCTGACATTTTGCAATACTGCAGAGAAGAGCACGATATTATCTTTACAGTCACATCTGCTTCTTTCTTTTATTCCAACTCATGTATAATAATAGTATTTTATAAATAGCCTTTCCAAACCATACACTAGTTTTTGAAAAGCACTATATAAATGTACTGTAATTAATTAGTGACTTGTGTTGATAAACCTACAGTAGAAGATTATTCTTCTGAGTGTCAGGTTTTGACAGGGTTGGTTTCAGTAATGATTTGCTATTTTGCCTGCAAAAACCAGCCCTTGGTAATTCACTATTCACTAAAAAGGGCAAGAAGTAAGTTTGCATATATCCTTTGGCACTTGACCTCTATTTCTATTTTCAACTGAATAATTAGAGACTTCTATAATGGTGATAGTTAATGCTCAGCTATGACCAACAATTTCTCTCAGTTCTTTCAGCAAAATTGTAATCAGCAATCTTGATTCCTGTGTTGCACAAGACAATTTTTCTATCTGCAGCTATAACTTGCAAACACAGGTGATTGCAAATCCATCCTCAGAGAGCCTGGATTTAAGTGCTGTTTACAGACAGTAAATCACAAAGTATGACCAGTTCTTGTTTAAAGCAGGGGGTTTGCCAAGAGCCACAGTATGGTAAGTGCTCACCCACAGTGCACTAGAATCCTATTGTTATGTCAGGAATTGAAGAGCCTGACTGTCCAGAGTCCTCTGCAGGTAACTTTAAGCTATTGCGGTAAATGGAAACTTTGCCCCCTTATTGTTGTTACTAATGCCTTTGATTTTGAGTCTATTTTCTATTTTAATAAACAATATACCTCTCTCCTGGACCCAGAGGTTGAGATTAAATTCTGAAAAAATAATTATACGGTAACTATGTTTTGGACTTTTCACTGCCTGTGATGAAGTGAGCTGTACTATTTATGGAATGTACGTTAGATGAGTTGAAAAGGGCGTGGAAACAAAACTGAATGCAGTTCTTTTTTTTTTTGGTGCATATTACCATGACAGATAATATCTGCATTATGACTCAAAGTTGGCTTCCTCAGAGTAAGCCAAGTGCAGAATTTGAGGTGCCTGGCTCATTTTAAAACAGTCTGCATTTAGAAGCTGCAGTAAGCTGATTTTTGCAATCAGAGCCTTACTGAAGGAGAGTCTGCAGTGCATGGAATTCAATACATCCCCCATTCCGCTGATGGTGGGTCCTGTTTACAGTACATGTCACTGGTTGCAAGCTCTTATATACTGTACTAAGACAACCAGGAGCTTGATCTTTGAGATTTGTTACTACTATTAAATTTAATTTGTATCTATTAGTATTTAGACAGACGTGATCAGGTAAAGTTAAAGTAATATTAAGTATTTGAATTCTATGCTTCATCAATAATGCAATTAGTACAATTGTCATGTAAATTTTGAATTGGTCCAAACTGCAATGCAATGGAAGCCTTACTTTTTAACTTCCAGTAACTTCCAGTGCCATAGCTGACTACACTCCCTGGCGATATTTGTCAGCAAGAACACAGAGAAGGATGAAGTGTAAATACACTACTGTCGGCTTTGTCTCAGTCCCCCACCAATCACTACTACGCTGATTCATGGCTTCACTTTAACAATGTTTGTTCTTGTGATATATATCCTTTGAGTCCAGATCAGTAATTGCCTCTGTTTTAATTTGTTTTCTGTGGCATGCATGGTGTCAGGTGTCAATGGCTTCCAGAACAATGAGTAATCAGATTGCAGAAAATGTGCATAATAATGCACACGCAGCAATACAAAGCTGTAATGCTTTACAATGCTGCTGGAAAAAAAACAGAACTTCCTCAATAGGGAAATGCAATGGGAAAGCATAGTGTTATAGTCTGGGCGGCACAATGACTCTTTAATCTTTTAAATGGCAAATCAGGTTTACTGTTTTACTATAAAGCTCCTTTCAATATAATTATTCTGGTTTCCCCCAACACCCTTCTCAGCAAATGTCTGCATCAGGTCCTGCACAAGACCAAACTGCTGTATATTACTGTATTTGTAGCTGTTGTTTTCTGTTTCCGTTGTGGAGCGGCTGGAGTACAAGATAGTGCATACATTAGCTCTGTGTCATGCCAGCTCCTTTTAGTATAGAAAAGCTCTTCATCATCTAACTGTGTAATGTAAATGAGCCCACAAGCAAAGTCACAAAGAGGAACAAGCTCAACTTCATGATGCTACAAGAGCTGCCTATTCAGCCTCTTCTATCCAATATGTAGTGATTGACTGTTTTGAGAGCCAATACGTTATCAGCTGTGGATAACATACATGCCAGTTTGCAGTCATCTGGTGCATCCACTGTCTTCAATAATTTGTCAGAAATCTGTGCCAGTGGCCTATAAATAACTCCCCTCATTTCCTTAAGTACTCTTGTGCAGATACCATCTGGATCCAGGGTCTTGTTAGTCTTGAGCTTCCCTCGTACTTATCTTTCACTTGCACTTTTATCTCTGGGTGCATTGAATGGACCAGCTCCTTGTTTTCATTTCCACATTAAAAAAGATGTGCATTCACACAGGCCTTTAGAGCAGTTTCTTTTCAAACACATAGAGTTCAAACACACGCAGATGTGCTTTGCCCATGATGGCAGATTCTGTTGTCATGATTTTTTTACGATGTTTCTGTACATAAAGAAAGTCCAGTTTACACAGCACACAGGCTGTCATCTAATAAAATAAACAAAAGTATTCTAATCTCAGACTTATACCATGTTGTAACAAATCCCTGACAATTGAATTTCCTAATTTTTCCCCAGAATTGTTGCATTAATGATACAAATATCAGGTTTCTACATTAACTGTTTCAGACCTTGGTTGATACTCACCGTACTAGATGGTGATGTCTGCTCTGATTTTACTTTGAGGTCATGTAGCATGCATGTTCTCCATTTTCTTTTTTAATATGAAAATATGGCTGATTATTATTGTTTTCATTTTACACTCTGCATTTTAATTTGCTGTGAACAACTACACTATGAAATCCCATAGAACAAGGATGGTGAATGTTTTCCTCCTACATGTGCCTTGTCAAGCCTCTCACCTGTTGATGGAAGAGCAGGCTCACATTCACCCAAAATGGTGGGCAATGTACCATCCAAGTGCCACTGTTGGAGACTCCTGGTCACAACCTGCTGAGGACATGAACAAGAGCAGGAATTGACAATTCTGATCCCAGAGAGCCAGTGTGTCTTTCCAATTCCAGATGTGCATTCCAGCTTAGTTGGAAATGTAATGTACTGCACTGTACTGGTGCAGCTATCAGCAACATTAACCAGCTCATTATTAACTCACTAGTACAACTTTCACTGCTTCTCACGTTTCTTCATATGCTGATGCTTTGGAGAGACTTTGAAAACCTGCAGACACTCTAGCCCACCTGGTGCAAGATTACCCATCCTGGACTTAAAAGGATAAAATCAAGACTGCAAGGTTCAACCTATATTCCTCACAGAGCCTTTACAGTTTGATCCAAAGTCTGCACCATTTATTGTGGTAGGGATCTATATTTTCCTGGATTGTTGCGCAGTCACATTTACTGGAGTGAACGCTGGCAAGCATGACACCAAACTGATATTGAAGCAGTGCATCCAGAACATACAATGGTCAATGTTTATTTTTCTCATGTATAGAGAGCAACAGAAATGATGAGGTGTGACTATGATTTTTAAGTCAAAAACTTTCTAAGCACTTTCAGTCTGGGAAAATATATCCGATGCACACAATAAAACTCTGCAGAATTGTGAAAGTGTTTTTTTTCAGGAAAATGTTTGAATCATTATTATGTTTTTTGAACTGGCTCACATTAGTGAAATGAGTTGAGACCATCCATATTCCCAAAAGACTTGTGGATGCCTGCTTCATTACCCAATCAATGTGCTCTAGTAAGAGAGGAGCTGGAGTTTTTATGATTGTGGAGAGCACAGTACAAACATTGTAATGAGCTCAGTCTAATAGACCATTAAAGTGGTGGATTCCTGCAGAAAATGTTCATAAGATACAGGAATGAATGTGTAAGCCTGACTGGTTAGAGATATGCGTCTGCTTGAAAAAGAGAGACAACAGCTGGCTGGCATGAAGACTGATGGTTGGTTA